CAACGCTGTTGGCGGAGGCGGCGGTGGCAGCTGCTGGGAGGCGCTGGGGTGCGGGCACGGCTGCGTTCCTGCCATCTGGGAATGAGCTGTCGTGCCGTGTGTAAAGCTGAAGAGTGAAATGGCACGATAGGAGGTCTTTACGGTCTTGTTCTGTCTTTGCTCTTAGAAGAAAACAAAATGTTAATTAAATACCCCCACCTTGGCAAGCAGTGGTGACAATACTAGGTTTGCAATATGAGCTGGTGTTTATGCCTGGGGTTAGGCTTCAGAAAGCTTGTCTCAGGAGGATTGCCTAAACCGCTGTGTGGAGTATCATAAAAGCTGATGACTTCTCTTTTTCTTGGTAGGAGGGTCTCACCTTTCCTTTGTGGTGTGTGGCCCTTAGCCGTTGTAATGAAGAGTGGCAGTTGTGATACGAATTGCTTTTAATCTTTGTAAGGCACTTGCCAGTGAATAACTGGCATTTTCTACTGAAACTTAAGCATGGCTCTCCCATGGTGCTCCACTTTTTTCTTAAGTGTGATGAGTAATAAGATTTGTAACTAGCTTTTTTGATGTTTGTCATGTTCCTCTTATGACCAAGTGTTTTCAGGCAACTGTAAGCTAGATCTCATTGGCAGAAATAGTAGTATGTTCAAACTGTTGGCAATAAAGCCAAATGGGTGTGAGAAGCGAGGGGCAGAGTACTAAAATGACTTTAAAATGGGAACCACAAAACTTATCGATACTAACAGCCTATGTTAATGAAAAAAGCAACCTGCTTCCAAAGTGGACTTGAAAAGCTTATAATTAAAAACAAGTAGCTGCTTTCTGATTACCTTGAGCTTGGGTTGGTCTCTTCCCCATTGTTTGCTGTGGGTTACATTGATAGTTTTAAGAGTTGATTGAGAAGTATGTAATCCAGGGAACCATCAAAGTGTCTCTTACTCTGTCATGTCTTTGTTTTTTAAGTAGATGCTACTGATTTTCACAGCTCAGGAGTGCCAAAACTTCAGTCACAGTGCAGGTTCTCACTCTGCATGTAGTCTCTTTCTTTGCAGCAGGAGCTGTCATTTCCACAATAAGTACCTGGGTTTTCACAGTTACCTGTGAACGGTAATGTTTTATTTCTTTCTCAAAGATTTCTGTGCTTGAGAGTAAAGAACTGCAGCCTGGAAAAAGTAGTGGGATAATTTGATGGTTACCAAGATCTGTGGCAGTCGGGGGGAAGAAAAAAAAAACCAGCATGGACTCAGTCCCTTCCGGACTTCCACTTGCTGATTTAGCAGGTAGCTAGCTGTGCAGCATGATGTGACTTGTCGAAGGCTGAGTCCATAGGTGTTTCCTTTCAGGTTACCAACATCCATCATTAAATGGCTTCTGCAATTTCTAGCAGGCTTGAAGCTTGAACCCTAGCAGGCTTGAAGCTTGAACCCTGAAGGTTTGCTCAAGCTCTAGTTAGTCAAATAATAATCCTATAACATGGATTACTACATAGTCTAAATGATATCTCTCCTGTATAAAAGATGGGGATACATTATCTCTGTCAGATTAGTTTTATTTCTGATAAGAACAGTTACCAGCTTATAGTGGCTCAGAGTATTTTTTTGAGGTAGACAGGTGTACTAGTTTTGGCTAGAATGGAGTAAGTTTTCTTTGTAGCTCTGTGTAGTGCTAAGTTTTGGGTTTCTGATGAAAACAATGCTGATAACACACCTATGTTTTAGTTATTGCTGAAGAGTGTTTGCATAGCCTCAAGGGCTTCTCTGTTTCTCACGCTGCCCTGCCAGCGAGTAGTCTGGGGGTAGGCAAGAAGTTGGGAAGGGACACAGCTGGGACAGCTGACCCAGGCTAACCAAAAGGATACTCCAAACCATATGATGGTTTGGCAATAAAAGCTGGGGAAAGAAGGAGAAAGGGGAGACGTTTGAAGTAATACTTAGGTACAATGAAGCCCCGCTTTCCTGGAAGTGGCTAAACATCTGCCTGCTGATGGGAAGTAGTGCATTAATTCCTTATTTTGCTTTGCTTGTGTGCACAGGTTTGCTCTACCTGTTTTCTTGCTTTTGCCCTTATGATTCTCTGCCCCATCCCACTGGGGAAGTGAGAGAGTGGCTGTGTGGGGCTCAGCTGCCAGGCAGGGTTAACCCATAACAAGTGAGGCTTTGTGGTATCACGCTGTTTTAGTGTGTTGTTATTGTGTTAATGCCAAAATGACTTGTTTTTTAGTAACCTGGAAAGGATCCCATTCACTAACAAAATGTGACTTTTATAAATATGCCTGGCTTGAAATGTTACTGGGTATGTGGGACAATGAGACTTGTAGTCCTGTGCATAATTAATAGAATAGATTATTTCTTTTTCCTCAGCTGAAATCTGTAGATTGCAGTTTAGGATGACTTAACTTAAGGTCATAGCTGTCATTCCTCAAAGAGAGGCAGATAATTTACAAAAACCCAAAAGGATTAAAATAGCAGTACATTCAGTCAAGAATGAAATTGAGGAACAGAAGGAACTCTCGCAGTACAGTCTTCCCAATTAAATGATTATAAACACTTTAACCCTTGGAAGTGATCTTAAGGTAAGATACTTTCTCCTAAGGAAACCGTTGTAGTGCATTTTTTAGCACACGCATGTCATGTTGTTTCAGTTTCCTGGTATACAAATAACGGCTGTTGTTTTTTAATTACAAGAATACATTGTTGATTATAGTTGTCCAGCAACTGTTCTTGAATATAATTTTCTCCAAAATTATTTTGCAGGTCTCTCTATCTTTTCTGTAACAAATGAGGATGAAAATGCTGAGCAGCAGTGTAAGCCAACAGAAGTATTTCCATGTGAAAATCAAGATGGGAATTCAAAGATGTCTTCATATAGGAGTAGACATTTATTCACAAAGAGGTCAAGAAACTCTTCCACAGTGAAACTTGAAATAAAACTTCAAGAATCTGATGATGAATGTGATCTTGTCATTGATGTGCCACCACAAGCTGTTAATAAAAAGCCAAGAAGAAGTAGGAACTATACAAGTGGGAACACGGACAAAGAACTGGCTGCTGTAATAGGTGCAGAAAACTTACATGATAGTGCTGGAGCAGACATTCTTGGGTGTACAGAAGAAAAATCAGAGAAAATTATCACTTTGCAGATGAATGGCAAAGGTTTAAATAAATCTGAAAAACTAGGCAATGTTTCTCCAAAAGCAAATGAGCCTAATGTAAATACTAATATATTGAAGGTTTTGGAGGAAAGAGATGCCCTTGCTTATACTGCAGAGAAACTTATATCTTCCACTGCTTCTATTGAGGCAGACATGCAGAAGGGAATTCTGAAGCAAGGGAATGCAGAAACCAATATACTGGTCGAAGCATTTGTTCAGGGGCATGCTACTAATGAAGACTGTGTGAGCAGTGGAAGAGTAACACAGTCTGTCTTGTGTACTGGTCACATGTCAAAAGATGAAACCACAATTGAAAGACCTTATAAGGAAATAATAAATACAGAGGAAAGCCAGAGCATAGAAGAAAATGGGGGTAATGATAGCCCAGAAGATACATGCCCATGTACAACTTCTTACTTAAACAAGAAAGAAAGTGAAGCAGGTCTGTGGAGTTCATCTACTGAGGAAGCAGAACCCAGTGGGGAGGACACAGGGCTCTCTGAATCAGATGATCCTTTAGAGGAGTGTCGGAGAATTTTTGATGAGTTTGAAAGAGAAGCACAGAAGAAGGATGCTGATAAGCAGGTATTTTGTTTCCCTGTCAGTGCTTGGAATTTTTTTTTTCAGTATACGAGTATGGGGTGTGATATATAATCAAGTTCAAATACTCTTTCAAAAATGTGTGTTAGTAAAGGTTAAATATTTGATCCTTCAACACTAGTAGACAAAGTCATAAGGAACACTTATGACTGTCTAGTTTGACAAAGAGTTATCTGTATTTTTCCTGAAGTAGAAAATTGCTCTGAACAGCTTCCTGCCTTGAGGTAGCCATTTTTACTTTTACTGTAATAAGCACAGTTTTAGAGGCAGTTGTGTATTCAGTAGTCTCCTGTTCTTGTAAACGAATGTAGCACTGTGCCTTAACTGTTCTGAATGTAAAATAACTGTGTAATACTGATAGAATTGTAATTTTCCTGGTGAGTTTTTTTGACTGAATATCCCGAAACATTGGAGTGAGCAAGTCATGAGGATATTACTGACGTCTAGAGCTTCATAACAGTTCGTCTGAATACTCTGTTCTTACTTTTAATATTGAAATTGCACACATGGCAAAATTTGATGTGAGTTGTAATCTTTAAATAAGCTGAAGGTCAACATAGCTTTATTTAATATCTGTAGACTCATGTTGAACTTCAGGTTGGCTGTCATGTAATCTAATTGTAAAAATATTTCGAAATTAATTACAACAATTGTCTCATCAACTCTTCTGTTGGAAGTTGTAGCAAATATTGTGATACTTAGAGTTGGTTCTTGATGCAGGTGAAGTAAGCTGCTGCCCAGGGCAGCTGAGGCTAATGAATATTGAAAAGTCAGTTTGGAGTGGAGGTTTGTACTATGAGATTACAGATACAGCGCTTGGAAACCCAAAGTGGCTGTTGCTTTCTCTGCTTTTACAGTGCTTTAGGTGGCAATGTTAATAGCAGGCATAATTCTTTAAGCCCACTCTACCACCCCGAGCTCTTTCAGCTTGCTGTTTTCCTTCCGGTACAGCATGCTGAGCTCTGAATCTGATAGCAAAATTCAGTTTTAAGAAGCAGTGTGTTAACTTTAACATCGTCTTCCTGTGATTTGGAACTGCTTGAATGGTAACTCTCATTTTGTGTATGTGCTTATCAGGTACATAAGAAAAATGCAATGGTGCCTTTCAAAGCATCTCCTTGGCAGCAGGGTCATGATGCAGAAATTCAGCAGGCACACTGGGAGGCAATGGAGTTTGCAGCTGCAATTCAAAGGGGACAAGCTTTTATTGCCACAACTTCTGAACAGGAGGCAACTACATCTGGATTGTCAGCTACTCAGTTTCAAAGCATTGGCTCAATGGGTATGACAGCTTGATCTGTAGCTTTGACAAACTAAACTTCGTTTTGCTTCAGTTAGGCATCACTTGAATATGTTCATTTTGTTGTGATGAATGCTAGCTGTGAATTGAATGATGGTGAGCACTTAGCTTGTGAAGATAGATGCCCTGTCCAACTACAAGGTTATATTTGAAGTCTTGGTAGCTGTAATGGAAAGGGGATAAGTACCTTGTGCTAAGTTCTTTGAATGTGTACAGTTTTGACCAAAACCCTGAAAAACACTTGTTTTGTTGAAAGTCTTTTGATACATGAGTTGAAAGGATAAAAAAAAAATCTGGTGAGTTTCCTTTTACTACTGATACCAACTGTTAGGTTTCTAGTCTGAAGCATTCAGACCATCTGATACAATTTGTTAAATCTTGTGAAAAATCATGTGTTCTTCCTTTAAATTCTCCTCCATATGTAAAAAATCCTGGAGTAGAAGTTATTTTCAGCATTTGATAGTAGTTAAACAGTGTTTCCCCTCCAGTTTTTCTACTGTCACTTTAAATATACGCTTACAAAATAAGCTACCTAGCAATTAAATTAATAAAATACTGCTTATTAGTTTCATTCATGTGTCTTTATTACACATGCTATAAAACATCTTCACATAAAATTGAGTCATTCTACCAGTGTATGCATTCTTTCTGAATAACAGTAAAATGGATTAGTGTATCTCATGGTGGACAGATGTGGCTTGCTGTGTAATAGGTGCTGATGCAAGTAAAGTTAAGCAGGATAACTGCAAGTCAAATGCTGATACCTTGGCTCCAGAATCTCATGACCAATTTTTATTTCTGAGATCTGTGTCTTTCCTGACTTTAAAAAAGCAAAGCAATACTTCAAGGTACTTACTGATTGCATTGGAAGATGAAGATCGAATGGTGGTTTTCCTTATTTTTTTTTCTTCTTTTTTTTTCTTGCTTTTTTGCAGGGGAGGGCAAAAGGACACAGAGGGCAGGGAAGTAGGTGTTTAAAAATCATAGCCATTGCAACCTGAAAATAGCTTTTAACTTGACTTGTGTGGCTGCTTTTTTCTAACATCTTCAAACTGATATATGATCTCAAAAATATGGGAGAACAAGTTGCATAAAATCTGTTGGCAGAAGTGAAGTCTTAATGTGTTTTCTGACATTCTAGGTTTGCTTCTGTGCATTAGTTTACTTTTCCCCTGCTTTAACAAAGGAGCTGTGAAATACCTGTGTTCCAGATTAATGTAATTTAAATAATAAAGCTTACCATTAGAGTTTAGATTCAGTCTGTATCTTCTGTGTGTTTCAGCCTCTTTGAATTTGCTTGAAGTTCAGCCTATTGAAACCAGCAGTGGGCAACTGCATATACTACTGGAAGGAAATGTAGCAACAATGCCCTGTGGACTTTCTATGAGTTCGTTCAAAAGGACTACTCTTGTGCCATGCAAGGTACTGTAGAGTTACTGCTGTGGAACTTGGATATGTGAATGGGAACAGAAGTGGGAAAACTGCAATTAATTTCAAACATTATTTTGTAATGTAAACCCAGTAATGTGACTTACCAGTATAGCTTTTTTAAAAAAATACTTTGTTTCCTGTGTGCTTTAATCAAGTTGCTATGCAAATTGTATTTTCATTTTCCTTGGTTGTATTAGCCAGCACTACACAAATGTAGGCAATTAAATACATAAACTGTTAATCAAAGTGGTTGTGATGGGAGAATTAAGAACTAGTTTGTTTTCAGTCAAGTCATGCTTGCATGTTGGTTATTTTCCCCTAAAATGTCCTTCCATGTATAGTGACAGATGATATCTGATGAAAGTCTTTATTTGGCTTCAGCAGAGGTACCCTTATAAATTAAAGGGCTTTCAAGGAACTTGTCAAAAAATTAATGCAGGTGTATTTTGGTTTGTTAGCACCAACTTTGCTTTGTAATTTTGAGTGGCAGAGTGTCATAAGGTTCTCTTCTCAGAAAAAGTACTCTCTAACCTTGCCTTTTTCTTTTTTTAAAGCAGAGGTCACTGAAAATTCCTGGGGTCAGATAAATTACAAGATCAGAGTTTTGCTTTCTGATTAAAAGTGTCAAATGTTATGGCTTCAGTCAGTTTGGTTATTGACATTTTTCTAGGATATGAAGTACTGATTCCTTCATGCTTCATATCTTCAGTATGTACCTTCTTGTTTCCTAAACAGAATACTGCATGCCCCAATAATGATGAGACTAGGTTGTGACAATGATACACATTGCCTTTGTTCCCTTAATGCAAAAATTGCCTTCTCCTTGGTAGTAACACATACATTTAAATGCTGCTCTTAAAAGATCTTCCTTGGTGAATAAATGTGGTATAGACATATTACTCCTTTTTTGATACATACAAATCATCTTTGTAACTGTTTGGACTTTTTTGGGTGTGACCATGTTTAACCTAACTTACTACCAGATTTTTGAATGTGATGATTTTAACTTATGTGCTTAATCTTAAAATAAGCACATTGTGGTAAACAAAAGCTCTGCATTGCATTGTCTAACAAAGGCTATAGGTTCCTAAAAATAAACTCTTTTTTATAGTCTACTTCATTGGGTCCTTAGTTTATGCTCTGAATGAAGTACTGACTGAAATAAAGGCCAGATGGAGAGCATGACTTAAATCATAACTGAACTGCAACTCCAGTTTTCTGAATAGCTATTCAGCAATATTTGATTTTTATTTATTTTCTCCAAGGATGGGCAAAAGAATGCCTGAGCTGGTTTTAGTTCCTTGGGATATTTGTTGCATATTGACCACATTAGTATGGGTTTTTTTTTTTTCAGGTTTCTACTCAGAAAAGGCTTTCCATTCCAGAATCAGGATCCAAAGTACCACTTGAGACAAGACAGCGATATGTCAGGGTTTTTTTTGCAGAATGCTTCAAAATTTGTGGCACAGTGAATGAAGCTATTGACAAGGTTTGTAATGTTTTATAGATCTTTAAGTTCCTCTTCTGAATTAAGTCAGTAGGTCTTATCTTGCACAAAGTGTTCATGGGGCTTTTTACTTGATTATTTTTTTAAGACAAATATTTCAGACTTTTCAGTAAGCAGAAGTTAAAATGTGCACAAGCTTGCTAGTGTTATCAATCAGTTTCAGTTTTCTTCAAGTAAAAACATTTGTCTGCGGCACTGCTAATTAGCTTCCAAAAAGACATGTTTTAGTATAAAAAAGGAAAAGTTTTTCTTTTGCAAATGCAAAATAAAAATCTTGTGAGTACTGGTGGCTTCCTGGAATGTAATAATGACTTTGAGATCGATTCAGGACAGGAGGAAAGCATGTTTAAAGAACAAGAATAAATCTCTCAATCATTTTGAGCCTTTGATCTTGTATTTACTGTTTACACCACACTAAGTGCTGCTCAAGCTTATAACCAATAGATATGGTCTGACAGGCACAAATATCCTGAGCTTAACCTTTATGTAATCTAAATTTCTTGTATGCTGGAAATCAAAGGACTTTATGGAGGTGTCCTGATAAGACTCTGTATGTGTATTTAATTATACGTTGAATGAAAGCTTGTAAAACATCAGATGTTACTACTCTGCCATTTACAGTGTCTTCTCTATATTATGCAGCATACCTTCATATGCCTGACTGTTCATTCTTACTAAGTAATGTTTCTTTTACCTTCACTTTAACTTCCTACTGTGTTATTTCTCAGCTTCATGAGTTCTCTGCTTTCTCTCTTCCTCTGCTTAATGGTTGTAACTTGTGAATTGTAGTTGCTGTAGTGATAGTTAGAAGGCACTGTTTATGCCTAAAATGAGCTTCTCTTTTGTTGACTACAGTGAAATAAAACCAGGGAAGAAGCATTTTTCTTTCCCCAGAAGATCAAGGAACATACTCCTTGTTCCAAGTGTGCTTCTTCATAGCTAAAAGGTTGTGGACCTTCCTTTCGCTTCTGTTTCTTATGACTTTACAGAAAGAAAATTAAGGAAACATTTCTTGAACTAAAAAAGTAATAATACCTCCTTTGAAGCAGGATCAGAAAAAGCTGTCTGTAGCCACAGGAATGATTACCCTAAGAGTATTCAAATTCCCACAAGGACTAGATTTAAATTCGGAGTTGGAGCACTGATTTCCCCCACAGATCTTTGCTTCATAAGTACTGAATTTGTCTTTCTCATCCATCTGACTTTGTGTCTCCTGTTGCACTTCAGATTTAGGACAGTACTTGCATGTGTATTTACCTCTAGGTTCATAATCAGATTCTAAATGGCAGTGCTTTTTATAGAACATACAGTATTCCACTAACACTCAGTCTCTTCTTTTTTTTTAAATATAGGCCCTGAGAGAAGAGCAATCTGTTTATGATCGTTGTGGCAGTAAAAAAATGTACCTGAATTTTGCTGTGAAGGCTCTCAAAAAGCTGAGAGATCATGGTAGTTTTGCTTTCAATGAAGACTTTTTTAAATGGGTTGTAAGTGTAGAAATTAGAACATCAGAGAATGTCTTAAAAGGATTATTTAGTTTAACTTCACTAAAGATATTTCTGCATATTTAAATGCTTTTGTAGAAATAGGTCACTGAAATAAATTGGTGTTTTGATTTATAAATATTTGCTTAGAATATTAACATGAAATCTAAAATTGAGAAGAAATGCTAAAAATATGTTTTCTTACATTCAGGGCAACTTAGTAACAGCAGATCTTCCAGTGGCGCTGGATCCATAAAGTCAGAGGAAGAGAAAGGTAAAGAAAGGGAAACGGAGGTGTCAGTTCTCCCCTTTAACCTATAAATGGCTTTATTTCAGCATGAAAATGTTGCTCTGTTTTTGGTCAAGCTTTATCTGTTAGCCACTGCAAAGGTTTCCAACACAATTCCCTATTTGTATCTGAAGGCTCATTCTTAAGGGGAAAACACTGAACTTTTGTTTGAAAAGAGCATGTTCTTTACTATTGCATGCCTAGCCTTTCTGGGATGGCTAGTGAATTAACATCCGTATTGTTTAGTGTCTTTGTTTTGAATAATGCTTCACCTCTAATAGTTTCTAATTGTTCTGAGGTGCAAGCATGTATTTTTTGCATGTAAACTATAGTGCACATCTTGTAATTTCAGTTTTGTTTTATTTTGGAAGTACTAGGATACTTAAGTGCTACTTAGATTTGTTCTAATATTGCTTAAGCTTTGGGTTTGTTTACTTTTAGGTTTTTGGTTGTGGTTTTTTTATCATTTACAGGTGGTGCTCTGTATGAACTTCTAAAAGGTTATCTTCTGACTGAGGAACAGTTGAATGAAAATAACTTCCCTCGACCAAATCCTGAAAAAAATGGTAGTGCTATGCTTACTGGGGTTGTAAAAAATGCTGGATATGATGGTAAGTGCCTACTAGGCTGCAACAAAATTGAATTTCAGTCAGTGGTTCACAGGACAGTAAAATACACGGCTATAAAACTATACATTACAGTAGTGTTCTGTATTTAGTGCCTGGACTACAAGTGAATTCTGAAGCTTTCACAACTAAACCATGAAGCTTCATAGGTCTTTTTTAATTTTTGTTTCAAGATAGTAATTGAAGAAGTTGCAGGTAAACCTGAATTTCTTATAGTGCTATAGAGGAACTTTTTTTTTTAATACATGGCTCGTCTTGGGAGGCTGCTTATGTATTGATACTCTGCTCTCTCAATTATTGTTCATGTAACTTATTTCGTACTTCAATTCAGCATTTTTTTTAACTTTATGGCAAGCCAGCTAGGAAATATAGTCTGTTATCATTTTTTTAGGTTTCAAAAGAGTGTGCTGTAGGTGTGGTGAAGTGTATGCTGTTACTTCTTCAGGAGGATATACACGTGAAGAAGAATGCAACTATCATTCTGGTAGAGTATTGGAACAAAAAGGTAGGTATCCTTGGCATTCAATCTTTGTGGAAACTGTTAAAAGTTGTTAAAAAAACTCAACAAAATCAGAGTATGAAACTTCTTTTGCACAAGGTTCAGCTGAGGTATATTCTGCTGTACTTTTGGGAATGTGGCTAGTTACTAAAGCCTGCTGAATATGCCATAACTTTAGGAAAGCTGATGTTAATAAAACCATGTGGGAAGAAGGTAGAAAAAGGTTGATTGTGTGGCCTTGCACTGACTTCTGAGTGAACCTTGTCATCTTTTCTGAGAGACGCCTTAAATACTCAAAAGCTACATTAAATGTTTCCCTCAGGGAGAACCTTCTAGAGCATACTATACAACTTTCTCCCATTCATTGGTATTTCTTCTTTTTGATGAGAACCTTTTCTCAGGAGGGAATGATGTACAGTTTGTCATCCTGGCATAGATGGGACCTGTAGGTGGGACTTGCTGCTTTCCATAGTGCAGTCTCAGGAGAAAATGGAAAATAAATTTGAGAGGAGGAGTGAGGGTACTGATTTGTTTTTGCCATTGCTAGTTGCTGCAAAAGCTGCTCAATTTTCAACTTTTCTTTTTGGCAGTTCCTGGTGGCATGGAAAAACACTATAGCTGTTGTGATAGAATTGTTGGGTCTGCTGGATGTCAGATTGCAAAGGTAGGAATAATGTTCTCAGAAGGTTTATGTAATGCAGTATCTCAGTTTTGCTTTCTGTGTTCTTTTGACTTAAAGCTGGGTCATAGCTTTTTGTGAACAGTTTGATATAAGCCTTTTGTGTTTAGTTACTAGCATTTAGTAAATTATATGGCAAATATTGACAAGAAGTATTATATATATGCTCCGAGTCCGTTAGAAACAAATTGTCTGGCAGTTTGGGTAAGATATATTAACAAACTTGCACTTAAATACTAATGGAAACTTTGCAGCTTCATGTTCATGATGGAAGAAGGGAGAAATTGGAAGGCTTCATGAAGACATTAATTAAATCACCACCTTTTGATGGAAACTATGGTGTATATGCTCTGGACTGCGAGACGGTATGAGCAACCTAAAAAGTTTGGTTCAGTTAATAAAAAACTGTATTGCTGTTTATGAAGCAATTTTCTAGCTGTGGTAGTTTGGAACTCATGTCTCCGAGATCTGCGGAACTCTGACGAGTCACTCTACATGACTAGACCTTCAGTCTGATGAGTCACTCTACGTGACTAGACCTTTAGTACTGAACATGCAGTGAGCAAAATCATTTGGATTTGTTGAGTTGGTAACCAGTTCTGCTTTCTGTACAGCTTACATTATGTAAGGAAACATCATTGCTGCATAAATTCTCGTTAAATTTACTTTTTTCTTCAGTGTTACACAACCCACGGCTTGGAACTAACTAGAGTGACAGTGGTCGATGCTAAGCTACAGGTTGTCTATGATACGTTTGTTAAACCAGATGGTAAAGTTGTAGACTACGATATAAGGTATGTGAATTAGTCTATAGTACTTCAGGATTAGACTTAATAAATTGGCAGATAACTATGTAAGAAGAAACATGCCTCTCTTAAATGTCTATTCCTAGTAACATAAATCAAAGACTTTCAATCAGGAATGAGGCTTTTGTTCTTATAGGCTCAATTAAGAAGGATTTTTCTCTTTGCCTAGTTCAATTTCTTTTTTCCACATTTGAAGACTTTTTCTCCCCTTCCTTCAAAAAAAAAAAATCAAGTTAAACTTCCCAGAACCTGCTAAATTCCCTAAGGGGATAGAAGCAAATGCAAATTTAATCTATAAATGTTGTCTCACAGAAAAGCAGTATAGTCATAAGCCATGCATTGAGGCCATCAGACTGTACAGCTTAACAATATTTGCCTGTATTTAGTGCAGAGCACTTGTATTTGGTCTTCCTCTTGGGTTTTGTCATTGAGACCTGGAAGACATATTTTCAATTCCTGTTAGTTCTTTGAAGTCCTGCAACTGCTTTGAGAAGAAACACAGGTTTTGAGCCTCACTATAAAAAACTTGGAGGAGGATCAACGTAATGTGTTCCTACTTCTTCAACAGCAATATTTGTTCAGAGCCCTGTCTTTCGTCCATGCTTAAAAAACAGCCTCAGTCACTTGTAGTGGTAGAGCTAGGTTAATATCCCCAAGCTTAGTTTATCTTACACTACCTACGTGAAAAGGAAGAGAATGAAAAAATCCCTTATGTTGACTTCAGCATTATGTGATTTTTAAAGCTGGCTAGTGTTAACTTGAGATGCTGGGGGACGACCATGGTAAACCTAGTTCTTCTAGATATTTCTTAGTGTCTCTGTTAATGAAGCTCTTCTAAATCTGTCTTTAGACTCTCTGGAGCCACAGAGGATGATCTGAAGAATACCACAACATCTCTTCGGGATGTACAGGCAATACTTCTAAACTTGTTCAGTGCAGATACAATTTTAATTGGACACAGCTTAGAAAATGGCTTATTTGCTCTCAAGGTAAAATAACCTGTTTGAAGCCAATTTTAAGAGGTGACTACTTGTGTTTACTGTGTTCTAATTAATTTCAAAAAAGGAAAAGAATGTTGCCTTTCAGCAGATCAACATGTATGAAAAAAAGAATGAAAGGTACTTGATTGTTAAATGATAGCAATAGTGAAGATAATACTACATTCAGAGAAGGAAGAGATGTATATATAAACAGTATGGTAAAGATTCTGACATTTGGGCTTCCTGCTTTGCTGTTCTGTGCTTCTAGCAACCACACATCACCACTGAATAATATTGTCTTTATTTCTGGGTTCACAGAAACCTAGAATTGTATGTTTTCTGATCTTGCTGAACTCATGCGGGCAAATGCATAAAAGGATGTGACAATTCAATTAATACTAAGGTATTGCTGTTAGAATCTCTGTAAACAATTGTGTGGCTGTCAGGTAATTATTTTAGGTACCAGACATGCATGGATTATGCTATTAAATATCAAAGGCAGCAATATCCCATAAGAAACAACCATCTGCTCAGGAAGGCTCCGGGGGATCTTATCAATGTATATAAATATTTGAAGGAAGGGTATGAACAAGACTGAGCCAGGCTGTTTCCTGTGGTGCCCAGTGCCAGGACAAGAGGCAGTAGGCACAGACTGCAACGCAGGTACTTCCCTCTGAACATCAGGAAACACTTTTTCATTGTGAGGGTGACCGAATGCTGTCACAGGTTGTCCAGAGAGGATGTGGAGTCTTCTATCTTGGAGATGCTCAAAAGCTATCTGGACATGTTTCTAGGCAACTGGCTCTAGGTGGACCTGCTTGAGCAGGGGGTTTGGACAAGATGACTTCCAGAGGTCCCATCCAACCTGAACTATTCTGTGATTATTACTAATGAAGGAATTAGAATTTAGCCTTGATAGGCTTCCCTGCTAGTGATATCTAAAGGCCAAAGCAAATGAGCAAATGAGACTTTGCAGTATGGTATTGGCTATCTAAAACCAAAATTAATCATGTTCTGTATATATATATATATATATATATACACACACAACTAGTGAACAAACGTCAACGCAGCATATGGAAATCACTGCGAAGCACAATTTTTCCACAGTTCTTGCTACACAGTTTGCCATTCTATAATGAATAGAGGAACACAGGACAGACGACATAGTGTTTAGGGCTCAAGGATTAGTTTGGGCATATTATTGAGAAAGGAAATGGTTTAGATGCTAGATGAGATTTCCTTAATAAATAAAGGAGGTGCAAGACTGTAACTGGATGTGTAATCATTACTGTGGCCTCTGCTCTTTTCCAGCTGATTCATGACAGAGTAGTGGACACGTCAATAGTTTTTCCTCATCGGCTAGGTTTGCCTCACAAAAGAGCACTTAGAAGTCTGATGGCTGACTACCTCAGGAGAATTTGTCAAGATGATGGTAAGAGCACAGGTTCTTATTAAGCAATTGGTATATTGCATCATGAAATGGGAGACAGGAATAACCCAGAGAACTGCAAAGATAATACAGTTGCTGTTATTTAAAGCTTTGTCTTGGATACCTTTACTTCAATAGTATAATAAATGCAGAGGGTATACCTGCAGGGTAGGATGGTTGGTGTTGTAGTTTAAGCCCGGCCAGCATTAAGCACCACACAGCCACCCACTTATTCCCCCCAGTACAGCTGGCTTGTTGAAGTGTTCACCATACAAAAGTGTTGCGGTTTTTCACTTGTAGAAGGGGCATTCTTAAAATTCTGAAGGTAGTGTGATGAGGCTAATATCTATTTCAAGATTCACATGCTTATTCAAGCTGATACAAGAGCTCTTCAGCTGGGGTTTTCAGTAGTAAAATTACAGTAAATTTCTTGGCTGGCTGTCAAAGACAAATCAATAAATATATTCTATGGTGTGTATGTAATACTTAAAAAACATTGCATTGAACAGATATATTTTTGCATTGACCACGCCATTTTAAATAACGGGTTTTAATCTGATCTTAGAACAAATTAAATTGAGTATCTAATCAACGGGCAGATTAATATTTGCTTTTATCAGTGAAGCCTTCTGGACAACAAATAACATTCTATTCTGCTAACATATCTTCATTGCCCAGGGAATACATAAATCCTCGCACTGAGCAAAGCTCGATGGCCTTTGATACCCAGTGGAGTAGCTGAATGCTGCATCTCAAAGCTTATAGTGTCCTGTGACTTCCTTTGCTCTGACGGTCTGATGCGCAGCAGTGTGTGGGGGATAAGGGCAATGTCAAAAGTTATTTCTACAGACTTTAAGATGGCTATCTCAAGTAGCCAAAACTCTGCCTTTAGCAGACTCTTCTGCTTAAGTTCAGATTTAATCATTCTTTGTTGATCACCACTGAGCTAAAATCCAAGCTTAACCTATAGAGCTAGGTAGCTGCCATTTCTAGAAAAAATGAAAAAAACCCAATGCATGACTTCCACTCCGTATATTTATGTTGGTTTGTGCTGCTGCTTTGTGCTAGTTTGTGTTAGTTTTGTGCTAGTACAAGACAAAGATAATAAACTTCGAGTCTGGATTTGCTTTTTTTGTAAACCTGGGGATTAGTAGAATGAAACACTTTTTGCTATCAGAAAGCAATAGGTCTGTGGTGATTTAGCTTGCTCTAAATCGAATTGATTTTTTGCTTTTTTTTTGACCATCTCAAACTGAAATTTGATTAGGAGTGCATTTTAAAGGGTCTCAACTCCAGGATTTTTGGTGTCCAAGCTACAAGAGCTGCAACTGCTGCGGTAGCTTGACTTACAGTATATACATCATATACTTGATTCGACTGAAAAATTGAAGGATACATAACAGAGCTAGATGACTATGGTTTCAATAATTGAGCCTTTTCAGACTACTTGAAAAACATGTCTCATACAGGTTGTACTTTCTTGAGCAGTTAAAAATAGCAGCAGCTGAAGGGTGGAATGGCAAGGCAGAGCACTACTTCACAGGTTGGAAAGCAAATGAGAATTGGAACTTTCTCTGACAAAAGATAGTAAGAGTAGAGGGGAATCTCAGAGGATCACCTCCATTTTCTTATCCAAATGACAAAATAGTTTCTATTTTATTATTGCCAACTGTTCTGTTTTATTTCTTAAAGTACATTTAGGAGGGGAGAAAACTAGAACCTGCAAGGTTATGACCAGCTGTCTTCTGATTCTTTACATAGTAGAGTCTACTATGTGGTATAAACTTCTCTGCCACAGATAAAAGTTATGACCCTTCTCCGTTAGCTTCCACAGCTCTTTATATGTCCAACCTAAATAGATATTGTGGGGATGGTTCTTAAATATACTGGTGAAAGCATTCATCTAACACACTAATGCTGTTGCATATGACTACCGTGACTGTATAAACTGTGTGTTCACTGAGAGGGAAGTATAGCTGCTTCCACACTTAAGGAGATACTAGACTGCTTTAAGCCAGTAGATATCTGAATTGCAACTACATGTGTGTAAATGTCTGAAGATCTTTGCTTCTGAGTCTAGGCTGTTACATATGAAAAATTATCTCAAATCACTGGCATTTAAGTTTTACAAGAGAAAGCTAGAAGCTTGTATTTTTACTATTGAGTCATCTTTTGTTGTGATAGCACTTAAGTCCTCTGCTTCTTTGGGGAATGGAACATCTCAATTAAATCTAAGAATTATTTTTCTCCCCAGTATCAACTTACTACATTGCTTTGGGCAGGGGAGAACACCACAGTTGTGGAATCAGTAGACAGAGCAGTGCTATAGTGCAAAGAAGTAATACCTTTTTCTTTTTGAGCCACTAGCTCAGAAACATAAATGGGGAGGGGATTTTGCCACCTTCAAATGAAAATGCTGAACTGTATGCTGTCAGATTTTTCTTCCACAACTTTTTTGGTTTCTGAATAACCAGCCCCTGCCCCAAAGCTGTTTATCTGAGATCTTCTGTACCTTTATTAAAACTTCTATACTCAAAGTGGTATCTTTGTTTAACATAACTTAAACCATACAGGATTTAGATTTCCCTTGATCAGCTCATATAGGATTTACTGAGGGACATATATTTAAATTGGTCAATGTGACAGTTTGTTCCTGTGTCAAATTTCTGTTTATGAAGATGATGGCTGAATATAGTAGGTCTATTCTCCACCTAATGTAAAGTTGCTAGGAAAGCCCCAACATGCAGCTCTGGCTTTCAGTAAGGAGTGCTCAGAACTTGCAGTAGTTAACTACCATTATCCTGGCAGCCAGCATTTTCTTCTGTTGACTCAGTGTTAGGAAGGGTATTCTGATGCCTACATTAAGTGCCAACTAATGAGAGGATTGTATGCATTTCTCGTTTGCATGACTACCACTATTTTCCAGCCAGGATGCATTTAAACCTTTCTACTGTACTTTCTGTAGTTATGGGAATTGTATAAAACCTGTGTGAATTTGCAAGTTGTTGATTTTTTAAGCTTTGACTAAATGTAATAAAAATGTATAACTGTATATAATTTAAATCCTTCATTCTGTTCAGATTTCGTGGAGCATTTCAGTAGATCAGGGCAAGTAGATTGTCCTTAATTAACCAAGGTAGAAATTTACCATCTAGTTGCAAAATCAACTTGTCATCTGTTACTCTTTCAACTTCTGGTTTGAAAGCACATGACTTGGAGAGGCTGGTTTTCCAAAGACAATTATGTTGGATAGTCTAGGTTACTAATCCAGGCTCCATTGGATATTGAAGCTGGAGGATGTGGTGAGAAACTGAATATTGCCAGACAGTACTGCACTGCTGGAAGCGTGTGGTTATTACCTTGAATCCTGGTAGCAAGAAGTTGGACCAAAAACTGTCTGAATACCAAGTGTTGTCTTAATATTCTTGACAATTGTTCAGGTTAATAAACCAAGCTACCATTCTTTTATAAAGAAATATATAATCTAACACTTCTAATTTTTTTTTTTTTGTTCTCCTCTAGTTGATGGTCATAATTCCAAGGAAGATGCAATTGCTTGTATGGAACTAATCCTTTGGAAGGTCAAGGAGGACAAGTTTGGCTCGCTGCTCTGTAGTGCTTCAGTACCAATTATTTTTCTGATGTAAAAAAGAGGACAATGGGAAAATCTAGTGGGGCAACTTGACTGCATCTACTTCTGAAGCTTAAGATGTACAGGAAAGAGAAAACACAAATGCACAAAATACAAGTAAGATGCACAGAGTAAATTCTTATGTTAAATAGCAAGCCCATGCTTTTTTTCTGGTCTGAGTATTATTTCTGTAATCACCCTTACTACTCTGTATAGCTGAAAAGTATAATTTGCATGGTGGTAGGAACATGACCTCTTTTGGAGCAGAATAAGATGGTCTCTTTTAAAAAAGTTGAGCCTGTAGGAGGCTTTTGAACTGTAAAACCAATAAACTTTGACTTATAAGGGTTCCCAAAAGGGAGAGTATTTCAAGAAGTAAATATGTTCACTGCTTCAGCTAAAATTGGACTATACTCCAAGACAGGGAGTTCCCTGTCTCCCACTTAAGATAGGATTCAGCCTTTAGAGAGGAGGATTTTAAAGTCTGTTGCCACCTATTTTTGTGTGAAGGACAGAAAGCAATGAAAATGTAAGAACGGGCCACATTTTTTGTACAACATTAGCTCTGAGCTGAAGTTATGCTTTGCACTGTTTTGTCAAAGGCAGCTGAGAGTGGTGAGGAAAAATTGTCTTGACTGAGGACCCTGTAAGAGAAGATCAGTAGTGTAAAGATCTCTCAGTTCTCACAGGCGTGCCCCAAAGAATGAGTACACTGCATGACTAAATCTGCATTGAAGGTTAAAAATCGCTGTAGCTGCTTCTTATGCATTTAGGTACCTGGGGGATGTGTCCTGTTCTGAGACACGAACAGGTGATAGCTGTACTTAGAAATAGCGTTCTGTATTTATTGTCCTGTATCTGCAGGATTTTTTTATAAAAAAAAAAAGCCGATTTTCCTTCACTCAAAAATCGTTAATACTTCTATATTAATAGAACAGTCCTGCATACAGGCCCTGCTACAGCTTGGAGAAGGGGCTTTGTCATGTTCTTTACAAATGGGATAGACTTGCTCATGGATGGTTCCATTAGTGAAGATTGCCTTTATTATTTGGCTTTGAGTAAATCTAAGGAAAGAGATAAATGTCTACTCTGTAGAACCTGTTCTACTTAGCACAGAAATGTGTGTTAGTCATCCAACAAGCTATTAGCAGTGATCAAAGTGGTAATTCTGAGGCTCTATAGGCCATCTAAGGAACCTCCATCATCTGACTTGTCTTCTTAACTTCTTGTAGTTGGGTACTGAATTATTAAAACCAAATGGATAAAATACTGTGTACAATAAGCAAAATAATTTTAGGTACTGTTTTGTAAAAATAGCAAAGGAAACAGTCTTCTGATGCTGGAAGTAATGAAATTTCACCAAAACTGAAAGGTGGTGTGAATATAGGTGCAGTTAATCATTGGAACAGTGTCTGAGTCATATCTCTGTCATCTCTCTGCTGCTGCCTGCCATAAGCATACTTTTCTCTTTCCCACATATATTTATGATATAGACTTAGCTACTGTAAAACCTGACCCAGCATCTTCAGGAGCTGGAAGCTTAGTTCATGTTTTGGAGATGTGAGAGGCTAGTGTGGTCTGGTTGGACCTCCACTGTTTTCAGAGGGACTTGCTGAAACTGTCGGCTCCTACTGTGGGAATATCACCACCTGTGTCATGTTGTGCTATTAAGTGAATATGTGAAAGAGCTCTGAAGTATTATAAGGAAACATTACACTAGGTTGGCTTGATTTGAGGATTTTGACTTACAGCCTGGAACAGTTTGGCTTGCTTTGTTCCAACTGTTGTTTAATCGGCATTTTCCTGTGTCTAACCAGTTGCCTTGCACGTGGGAATGGCTGACCAGTATGTGACTTGGGGAAAGGCAAAATGGTGTGTTGGGAGCAGGGAATGTAGTGTAGCAGCACAGGAAGGGAATTAGCAGCAAGAGGGAAAACTTGTGTTTGGCCACAGCTGAACTATGCCCTTGTAATTTAATTGCTTGTGCTGTTTATCTGGGCCTCTGCTTATTTTCTGCAGTTCCCTTCCCCCATCTTGCAGAGTTTACAGAATTGCAATATAGCTGGGATATCAGAGAATCACAGTGTACCTGCCATTCTGCGTGACATATTCCTCAAAGCATGGCCAACTCCACTTGTCTGAAACGCTTCATTTCTTTCCCAACCAGAAACTTGTGCTGAGTATGAGCTTGATAACTATGTGTGAGAATATGGGAAAACTGATGCTGTGGTTTCAAAAAACAACGTTGGGAACGGGTGATGATACTGTAAGCTTGTGCATAGATGTCAGCAGGTGTAAATAGGTGGAGGTATATAAAGAATGTTAGGATGTGGGGTATTGGAATAATGGAAAACTGTTGACACTGGTAGTGTTATGCTCTTGACAGCAAAGAAACAAATAGAAGACACTTGGGAAGGAGGGGACATGGGATCAGATGTATTGTGCTATGGAAGGCAGAACATACAACCTGCTAATGGTTAAGCTGAAAACCTTTGTAAGCCGCCTACTGCCATAAATCAGGCTTTCCAGCACTGGATAACAGACAGTAAAATCTACCTATTGAACCTGCGATACCCAGTGCATGTTGCAAGTATAGAAGCAATTAGTTTATCTGAGGCTCTGACAGAACTAGTGGACATTTTTAATAGCTGTAGTTCTGTGATGTATAGACTGAATAGAGACATCTCAAGCTGTGTATTGGAGCTATTCTTTTCTTTTGTCTATTTTTTAAAATGGCAATTTAAAAAAAAAAAAATCATTACAGCAGACTAGAAAGTTAATGCATGCCACAATGTTAAATGAAGATGTGAAGAACATTCATAAGGACACTTAAATGACCTTCAGCTAAATGTACAGTGAGGCTTGAGCACATAAAGTCCAGACAGTATTAAGACATATTGGGTTGATGAATGACTCTTACTTGGACCAATATGCCACATA